TTTTGTGGTATTCTGTGTTTGTTTTGCGTTCTGCTCTCTCTTCCGTTGTGTATTTGGTCCTGTTTTAAGTGTGCAACCATTGGTCGAGAAGGCTGTCAATCACTATTATGATGCACTCAGAGCACCAATTAGGAGCTGGTCCACCACGTATAAAAGACGTTCACTTGTGCTGTTCAGCAGGAGCGCTTGGCTCACCGCCAAACTCCTCACTTCAGTCGGCCAGCCTGTTCATTTGTGTTTGTACAGTTTTGTTGTTGTTGTTGTTGTTGTTTACTCGCTCTCGTTTAAGTGATCTATTTATTAGATAAGCTTGTTCAGCTCAATTTAGTATTTATTGAAAAGTCGAACAATCTGTAAGACATTTGGATTATCAGATAAGCTCTTGTTTTAAAGGTTAACAGTGTGTACTTGATGAGAACTCTAGTCATTTAGAGCAGCATGCTTTATTTGTGTGTGTTAGTTTATGGAGGAGTTTCCTCATTTGTAATTATGTTTTGGAACAGTTATGAAGTTTAGCTAAGCGTCGCGCTGAAGATTACGGTTTCGTTCTGCTCTGTTGCTGTTGTCATGCCAACTTAATACTCGATAAAAAGAAGTGTGCATCAATAACCCCGCCTCTAAGTTCTTCTGATTGGTCCACTGCTCTAGAACTGACAGTAATGAGCGCTGCTGTGGGTGAATGTTAAATTAATTTTATTTTCACACAGCGACTGAAGAGATGCTGCAGAAATGTGAATAACAGTCACACACATCCATCAAACAATGGAAATAGAGGAAAACTACAGGGGAAACACTTTTACTGAATAACTACAGAATAAAATCCAGTATGCGCATGTAAAAATATGTGTGATAGTATGCAATAATGGACAAACCAGCGGCTGAGCACACTGTAAAACATCTGAAATGTTGTTTTGGTCATATTGAAACGCCTTAACCATTTCAGTATTATTATTATATTATTATTAAATATAATATAATCTTGAGTATCTGCGTTCTGTGTCTCATGTTCACACGCCATACACATTCACTGTGTGTCAGCATTTTCTTTTCTGGCTTTTTGACTCATTAGATGGAAACGCTGCTTTTATTAAATTCTAGAAAAAATCTCAAATTTACAGAATTATAATACAGAGTTATTGTATTTCTGTTGTTTGAGGACAGCGCTGAGCTTCATTTTTTTTAATACTCAGTTTCCTAATTATGACGTTTATTTTTCATTATTGTGTTGATTTTGTATGTTTGCATCATGAGAAGCTCTTCAGTTCTGCAGCTGATTGTGATGAAGCACTTCTGTCTGTTCAGAATACACAGAAATAAAGCCAGCACTGGAGACTTGTTATTATTCCTGTTGGACTGTATACCCATACCAATATACACCATGAAAAAAAAATATGGAGGACGTGACATCGCCTTTTCACACTAAATGCAAAAGGCCTCAAGACAGGCACAAAGTATTGCAAAAAACTGCTGAAAAAGACGTGAGCATGTGCAGAAGGACTGACTGATGGAGCCGGAGGCGGAGCATCAAACTTCCAACCAAATGCTTGTACATCAAATCAACCACGCCCCCCAAACTTCACATTTTAAATGGTGTATACAAATATTAAATAACATTTGAAGCTTTATTTGATATATAAGATTCAGCTTCTAGAACATTCATATTTTATAACAGCAAATTCAGTAGATGAACTTAATAACATGCCGAAACTCAAAATGCAGAGACGTCTTTAAACCAAGTTCAAATAACCTTACAGGAGACTGATCTGGACATTAGCTTTGTCTTCCTAATTATTATTTCAGACCCATAAAGAGAATTACTGGATAAAGATCAGCTGTATTTTCCCTGTCATGGCTATATGTATATGTATGGCTATGTATCAGCAAACTAATAAAGCCCAAGAAAGCTCAAACTTTACTGAATAAACAGTGATCCACCAGATCCTGTAGGTCAGACAGTAGAGTTTATCATGGTAAAATAACCCAGAAATCAAACATTGACACTTCACCTCCCGAAGCTCAGACGGTCCACTCAGAAAAGCTGTCAATCACAACTGTCAATCATGATGACACGCCCTGTTTATATAGCATTAAATAACTGGCTAAAAACACTGTTTACAGAAATGAAGATCTGAACCTAGATCAAAACCATCTTTGGGACATTATATTGATAGTGTAAGTTATTATTTTTTTATTTCTGGTCAAGTCTCTTTCGTTAACATGGAGTAGGTGGGTTTTATGACTTGTACTGCAGCCAGCCCCCAGGGGGCGATCTAACAGCCGGGAGCGACACTCAAAAGCAGGCGTGAGGCACACTTGGTACTGAAGTGTGAGCCCAATACTGAGATACAGACTGAACGGTGACTCCAGTGTACCGTTACACCCCTAATATTTTTCTGTAGATGTAAAAATGAGCTTAATTCACACTCTTGATCTGCATCTAAAATCACCTACTACTGGAGTATGTACTTACTACATTTCAATAAGAGTTTACTACATGACTGTTAGAAAAGTGTGCTCTATATATATTGTGAATATGAATATAATGTTCTTTATGCCATTAGTCATGATCACATGACCTGACCGCGTCAGTTACGTCGCTTCACTCACATTCATGAACTCTCTGGAATTCTCTTGCATTATGGGATATCGGAGTGTTCATCAGATGTGCACTTCAGAATGTTGTTGTAAATAGTAGATCATCTGAGAGCTTCTCGCATACTGCTTTTACAATACTGTCAATTCAGACACACTAACTCACGTACTGCTTTTAGCATAGGCACACTACTGTATATAGCAGGACTATTCATTTAGTTTGTCATGGGGGCCGGTTCATGAAAAGCATCTCAAACGAAGGGCTGGAGAGATGTGACTTGCTATATGAGTGATGACACAACAGCATATAAGAGCCCATACGCTGTATTTGTGCTCATAAAGACACCCACGTTGGCTTCTTCTACATTAAAATGTTCATATATTGTATTTTAAAGCTACATATCATTGCTGCGTTGCACAATTTACTTTTTTTACAAACATTCATAATGTTGTATTTTAGAGCACAACAAAAGCAGTGCATTGCTGAGTAGGGATGTAATGGTATTGTAAATACCGTCATACCGCAATATAAATTTTTTTTGATATTAGCGTAGTCGCATGACTCGGTAAAACTATAGGTCTTCTGAGAAAATTTGCTCAGGCGAATGAAGCGAACGGGAGATAGCAAAAACTACAATTCCCATCAGCCCAGTGGTGGCCATCATCCCTTGCGGTCTGTTGTTGCTCCAGATACAGTAATGCGGAAATGGAGTGTGCTGCTAGAAGCGGGCATCAAAAAGAGCTGGAAATGATCGAACCTGAAGCGGGTGTTGTCGCTGCACGCGTTCTGATCAGCTGTGTTGTCGCGCGCGCGTTCTGAATAGCGGTGTTGTTGCGCGCGTTCTGATCAGCTGTGTTGTCGCGCGCACACTGTAAAGCGGGGAGGGGGGGGTTGAGCGCACATACTCAAGAGCGGTGTTGTCGCGCGCCTACTGAAGGGCAGGACGGAGGGTGTGACACAGCACACTGTTCAGATTGATGCAGACATGAGACCTCTATCTCACTCTTGGTTTGTCCTCTCAAGTGGGGGAAAGACAATGCACAACGTTACCCACTGCTGTCAACCTGGGCCAAGTCATATATCTCTTGTCCCAGAAACCTCAGTCCCAAATGAGAGGGTTTTTTTCTGTTGCAGGGGACATTGTAAATGCCCAGAGATACCAGCTTTGACCAGATTATATTTATATGATAATTTTCCTTTAAACCCATCTCTATCTAAGTGAGTGAGTGATTAAATGTTGAATGTGATGAGTTTTCAACAATACTAAATTGAAACTTTATTTTTTTTACAAGGTTTAATATTTTTTTGTTATAAAAATTGAAGTTCCTGTTTCAAAGCTTACAGATAGATGACTAATTTGTATGTCATTGGCACTTTTGGCACTTTTTTGGAGAATTTTCATAAGTTTTGTTTCTTCCTGTAAATGATTCAATAAATACCGTACCGTGACATTCATACAGAGGTATTACCGTACCGTGACATTCTGATACCGTTACATCCCTATTGCTGAGGCTTCTTCTACATTCAGACACATTCAGATGTTGTTTTCAACTGCATAACAGTTAGTGATGCAACATTACAGATTTTGGTAGTTTGGTTATAGTCTGAAGAATAATCATGGGTTCACAGTTTTCACGTCTAATGTAAATTCAAGCTTTATATTAGGTCAGTAGCTATTTAGATTAACTGCTGTTATCACCTGTGTTCATGCATACATAATCATTTTAATAATAACTCGTCTAACATATCTTTTGTTGACACTGAACTGAAAGGCACGCACAACTTTCACCGTGAGTTATTTTCTACTGTGTGCGCCCGGAAAGATGCAAAGATGCTCAGCTTGCATGCTCAAAAGGTCATATATATTCTTACATTAGAAATAACAAACTTGCAAGCGGAAAATACGTGATATGGGAACGGGCGCTGCTGTAGTTAATCCGGTGTGTGTGCGAATTAGCCTTGGTGTACTTACTTGGAACTTTAAATTATCGCACAGGTGGTCATAACTTTTCCGTGCAACTGAAATGCGGATTAGAGAAGCCTTTACAATTCATTAACTGTGATGATTAAAAGCGCAGTTAATAGGGAAATCGGCTAATTGTTGCATCACGATTAACGATATCAGTGCATTGTACAAAAGATCTTTTCTACAAAACATGTCCAAATGTTTTCAGCTATCCGCACCACTCGCTAATGGTGACTCGCGCTCTGTGCAGCAGCTCGCCCTGTAATGAACAGAAGCGTGTCACTTCATAACTATAGCGGCCGTTTTTCGACTGAACAAAATTTATTTTTGATGTCTTGGTCACACTATTTGGAGGACCGGAACAAACTGCCTCTGGGGCCGGGTTTGGCCCACGGGCCGCCAATTGAATAACCCTGCCATACAGTAAGGAAGTGTGTGGATCTAGACGCAGTGTTGGTGAAGTGTGTGATTCTGGATGCAGTGTTGGTGGAGTGTGTGATTCTGACGCAGTGTTGGTGAAGTGTGTGATTCTGGACGCAGTGTTGGTGGAGTGTGTGATTCTGACGCAGTGTTGGTGGAGTGTGTGATTCTGGACGCAGTGTTGGTGGAGTGTGTGATTCTGGACGCAGTGTTGGTGGAGTGTGTGATTCTGGACGCAGTGTTGGTGGAGTGTGTGGTTCTGGACGCAGTGTTGGTGAAGTGTGTGATTCTGGACGCAGTGTTGGTGGAGTGTGTGATTCTGGACGCAGTGTTGGTGAAGTGTGTGATTTGAGGGTAAAGATGTCTAAATCTCCTTCAGTCGGTGGACACTGATGAACAGACAGTGAAGGAGATCAGATCTACTCACTTCATTCTCTTCCACATGTGTTCTGCTGGAGTCTCTGAAAACACCACAGACGTCAGCAGCTAAACAGAGGAACAACACACGAGACACGATATGAGACCTGATCAACAACTGTGAACAACTTGAGAAACATAACAAAACTGCACAAACATAAACTAAAACATTCTAGCAATGGGCCAACAAATAGATGTCATGTCGACCACATGCTGAAACACTGGAAACATGTTAAATAGTGTTGACAATAAGCTAAAATATCACATAAAACACAGAAGAAACACACTACTAACATAGATCATACTAACAATATTAATCATGCTAGTAATGTGCTTAAAATATCTCTCTGTTCATCACAGAGTATTGAAGACTATTTAATAATCCTCAATCTGATATGATCATACTCACAGAAGAGTCACAGTCCTCTTCTTCATCATCTGAAAAACAGACATTGATGAGGAAACATTAATAACACACTGACATAAACACAATACACTTCACTATAACACAGTTCTAAATCATTATAACATATTAAACTCTATACAGAACACTATAGTAAACAGCACAATTACTATAATGCAGCTCTAGAAAACAGATTTTTATCTTTCAGAAATAAGTGAAGTGTCTGGAGAGCATTTCTGCTGAATATGAGGATCATCTCAAACTGTAGTCTTTAGTTTCAGGCCTTTGTTGACGTCACATTTCTCTGCTATAAGGAGAGTTTGTGTAGTTTAATATTATTAATGCTGAAACTCACCAGCTAATCTGTTGTGAATCAGCCAGACAATAAGAGCAGAAAACAGAAGAGCAAACACAGCGACGACAGCAACAATCACACTCACTGCTGAGAGAAAGAGGAGTTAAACACACACACACACACACACACACACACACACACACTTATACTGTAACTGACTATACAGCACACACACACACGTTCATATTTTGATGACAAAACAACCGACACACATGATCATGAACAACTGACACACATATGATGAGAGCTCTGAGGATTTACATTCACAAATCTTCCATATTTGTATCATCATCAGATCTGCTGTGTCATTATTAAAGAAAGCTGTATTAGAAAGACACAAAAAACACTGATGATGAACCTGCTGATGAAGATTGTGGACTGGTTGTGTTGTAAACTAGAGTCACTGCTGCTGGTATTTGAGCTCCAGCTGTAACAGATGAAGGATAGTTCAGATGAATAACACTGCAGAACATCACAGCTGAACTAGTTATGTCCAGTATTGAACACTGTAATGCAGTGAAGCGAGATGAACACTGCTCAGGGTTCAGACCTGGTGAAGCAGCTCTGGGTTTTTCTGTTTTGGGGTTTTTGTTGTGAACTGGAGTCACTGCTGCTGCTGTTGTTGTTTTAGCTTCAGCTGTGAAAGATGAAGATGAATATGAATCATACTGCAGCAGAACAGTTTAATAACTCGGTTCTGCTTTAGCTGTGAGATCTGGAGCTGTAAGAGATGATGGAGATGTTCATTCAGCTCAGTCACACTCCACTAAATCACCATCATCTTTCAACTTTTTTTAATTTTCTGACTTTAATCAGCTTTTCTTGTTTCAAATAGAACTATCGATAAATTAAATAAATAAAAAATGTACCTGGACAAATATCAGATGATGATGATGATGATGATGATGATGGAGAGACTGAAAGTGAACAGAAGACACAAATCACTAATCATGATCTGAAACACAGAATTCAGCCCTGATTAAACTGAACACATGAGAAGGAAATTACCAGCAACAACATGCAGCAACACACGTGCATAAGTTCCATACTGGTGTCCTCCTTCTCCACTCCACTGTTGACAGGTGTAATATCCAGCATCTTCTGTTGTGACTCTACTGATGTTCAGAGAGCAGTCAGAGCCCAGATTCAGTCTCTCTGAGTTTCTTTTCTTTAACCCAAAATTAATCAGCTCAACTGCCTGGTTGTCTTTGCTGTAGAGCCATGTAGTTTCTGATGGTCTGCAGTGCTGAACAGTATTAATACAGGGCAGATGAACAGTTTGTCCAGAACTGCAGGACAGGGGACGCCATTCTGCTCCAAACACACCTGAAACATTTAGTGTCATATTTTACTGCACTCTCATGTTTTCGTGCAGGCAGAATACATACAATATAAATGAATATTTTTCCTAAATTTGTTTCAAAGTATTCCAATCTTTATACAAAATATATGTTAAGTCCTTTGATCAGGTAATTCCTGATTTTATTTGAAGCAGTGGCTCAATAAGAGTACAGAAATCATTTATGTTTTGCACTTATTTCTGAGTCTACAATTGGGGGATGAACATTCCCAGTGTTTTACAGTACCGGACATCAAACTACTCTAACCCTATAATACTTAATAGTCTTAACATTTGGTTACAATTCAGAAAATATTTTGCATAACTCCAGGAGACTTGTAAAATTAACCATTTCTTGTTTAGGAGGCACATGAGGGAAGAGAAAAACATGTATTTCTTTCTAAATTCACAATTCTGTAGATGTTAAGAAAAAAGGAAAAGTTAAACTTTTCTGATAAATAAGAAAATGTAGAAAATGTCTTATCACAAGAAAACCATTAATACTTACAAAGCCCCTTCTAAATTATAATACAAGTATTGGTCTGAGGTAGAGGGCAGGAAAGACAGTTTTTTATATATAGGAGACAGGCTTGACATTGTCTGAAAACCAAAATATTTTCTGAATTGTAACCAAATGTTTATTCTCCAGTTTAGTCAAACTCTGGTCCAGAATAATGAGCTGAAGTGCTGAGTTTATAATCTTGTAGATGATGAACAGCAGTGTTTACCTGTGCTGAGTGTCCAGAAGATGAGCAGCAGAAACAGAGGACTCCTATCAGCCATTCTGTGTGTCTGACACTCGTCTTCTGCTTTATATATATATATATATATATATGTTGAGCTCTTGTTTAAACAGCAGCAGCTCTTCCTGTGCTTCTGCAGCTTCCTCTCAGTGATACGTCACTGTTTAACTCTATAATGGACACTGAACACTGTGATAGCGCTGTATTTTAATGAAGAAATGACAGAATAATTGTCAGTAATACTCGAGCTTGTTTTTCTCTAACAATATCAGGAACTACATTAGGACCAGCTGATGTGAATATTTCATCTTTATGCAGAATCGTCTTCTTTCATGTCGTCCTCATTCATAGTCTAAATTTAAATGATTTTAATGTGGTTAATTCCTGTTTAATCAAGCACACTCTTAAACTCAAGCTTTACAGTGGAGTGTAATTGCAGTTACTGCAGAATCAAGACTTTCCTGCAATACTGTGATGTCTGATATACTAAAACACACACAGATCCTACAGTGAGCTGATCCTGCATCAGTTCTGCTGTGTTCAGAGCTGTGGTCTCGCTCTTCTGGTTTGGATCTGTTGTTCTGCTGACTCTGTGGAACTCAGTTAGTTTGACCACACTGGTTTAACCCACATTCAGCAGTGTCTGGTCAACCAGTTTAGCTGATGGTGTGAATCTTTCTCTCACAGCTCCTCTGGGTTCCTCTTTCCGTGTGCTTCTACAGGCTGCCTTTGCTGTTAACCACAGCTCAACACTTGTTTAATGGATCAGTTTTTCACACAATATTATCTGAAGGCCTGATAACTCAGTGCTCACGCTATCTGACCAGTGTTAGTTCTGGAGTGTCCTGTCAACCCTGTTACTGCAGTCTAGACCAAACACTGCTTCTGAAACCTAAAATATCAACATCAACTGTAGGTGGTAGATTCCTCTCACATCTTCTAATAACTTCTGCTGGGACCAGGAATTGAAGTTCAAATGCCAAAACATTACACCACAACTGCCCCACATGTCTGCACTCATGTCAGGAGAGATGGGATGGGATCGGGAAAGGTCCATGAGCTGCGACTCAGTCTCAGGACTCAGCTGAAGTGCAGGGATGTGTTTTGTGTTCTCTGGTCATTTTGAGTTTGATTTTGGAGTTAAGAAACAGTCTGTGACAGCGGTCTCCAAAGTTTGTCATAGCATGGACTTTGTCGTAATGTTTTGATGTTGATTATATCCTTGTGAACAGAGATGTGGTCAATAGAGAACATTATTTTAGAAAATAATCAACATGCTGTATTTTCAGTTTAAGAAGACTCAGAGAGGAATACCTAATGTGGAAAAATCCCTGAGATTAGAGACTTCATTTAGAGCACTGCAACAAAATCCCCTAATTTACTGTTTTTATTATCAGACATTTTACTGTATTTTCTGGCAACACAAGGGCATGAGGCACAACTCACTTATTATAGAAGGAAAAAGGCCAACAGTGTCTCTACCACCACAGCCAACTACATTTCCCTGTCTGATATTTGGTACCAGTTTATCAAGATGTGAGGATTTTGTTCTCTTTGACTGGATGGAAACATTGCTTTTCTGTTCGTGTTTGCAAATATTTTGTGCCACATTCAGTTCTGCAAGTTCCTCAACCTTTGGTAAATCTAAAGTTTTAATGATGTATTTTACTACAAACATCACAGAAATCAAAAACACACACCAACGTGGACAGAGTCGACAGAGACGAGGCTTTCAAAGAATACAGGAACTGTTGAGTTTAGACCTGTTGTTGGCGTTATTTTGACCACACTGGTTTAACACATAGTCAGCAGTGGGCTTCAACTATAGACCAGTTTAGACTGATGGTGTGAATCTTTAGGGCTGGTTCCTTTTTCTATGAGCTGCAACACTTTGTTTGGCACGACACCTCATGTCAGAGTCACTTGAAGCACAGTCATCTGGCCATATAGAGTCATGATCCTGCACTCGACAGCTCACACACACACACACACACTGCATTTTCACCTTCTGATCACGAGGACACTTACATCATTCATCTCTATATGTACAGCACTTTTATAATGTAGACTGTGTCAAAGCAGCTCAACACAGATGAAGATCCAGTAAACTGAAGGCTTCAGTCATCAATGATGTTCAGTTTAGAGGAAGAGAAGAGCTCTCACTCTGTACAATACAGATCACTTTATTATAATGTTGTGTTTTATTCTGAGTTGTTTGAGACACAGTAACACACGGCCGGATATTTTCCTGAACAGATTCACCACTATTGATGCTCATATTCTTCATCAAGCTGAAGCTGTAGTGAGGGGTTTGTGTCTTTGCTAAACTATGACAGGTCACGTTCATTAACAAGTAAGAATGGGATTTTGTGTCTTCAGTTTCATGCTGGTTCAATCAAAACACACCCAGACACAGACAGCCCAGTGAGGACACACTAAACGTCAGACATGATCATATGGTCAGGGGTTTGGATAGGGAAAAAGAGCAAGGACTGAAGTGCATGACAAAATCATGTGTTTATTAATAATGAACAAAACAAAAATCACCCAGAGGAGAAAACATGATTACAAGACAAACTAGACTAAGCTGGGCTGGCAAGACTAGACAGGATCAGGACATGACTCTCAGGAATAATGATGACAAACTGGCTCAGGGCAGCAGACAAGAGGAAGCGATAAGGAGAACAAATGAACAAACAAACAGGTGAACAGAAAAGACTAATAATGGGATAACAAGATATGCAGGACTAGACAATAGACAGAAGAGCACATGACAACACAAGCCATGTGATCATGTCAAACAGGATTGAACACGCAGCCAATGAGAACAGTCATTAACCACGTCTTCACATGAAACAACTAAAGCATGTGGGCCAGATGACATCCTGAAGCCATGAGCTTCACACAACACCAACACAAAACCAAATGCAGGACACAAGTACACAAGTATCCCAGTGCCAACCGAAACAGAAACCAACTTAACTGAGCCCGTCTGGACCATAAGCGCAGCCAAGACTGGCTTACACAAAGAGGAAGACACAGACAAAGACAGGAGATACGAGCGCATGACCTGAGAAAACTCAGAGCACAACATACAAAAAAGAATAGGACTAGCGTCCAGACTGTTATTAGCGGTGCAGCTTCTCATATACAGATGCAGGTGCCAGATCTCAATGCGCTTTCTTTCTTGCTATATGTTGTGTGTTCATGCACCAAATGTGAGTAATAATGTGACAATCACTGAGTGAACATTTACACCGTCATTATATAAAACAGACAGTCTCTTATATGAAAGATCGAGGAAGAATATTCATTGTGCTAGCCATGAGAGAATACAGTGTGCAATATATGCTGCGTCATTCTGCCTATTGCTCTTTACTGCTAGTTTAACTCATTAGTTTGTTTATTATAACATTTATATTTGTTTGTTTTTTGTAATCACTGTTCAATCATTGTTTATATGGTGTGATTCTCATTGATGTGAATGTGCAAATACATCTTATATTTATACTGTATTCCTGATCTGGCGTGTTTTTCCCAAACAACAACGTTACTCGTGGCTGAACTATCATAGTGTGATGCATCATTTAGGAAAAGAACAATGGAGTGACGATGTAGTTGACAGAGGGTCAGTTTATCCTTATACGATGATGGTACAAGTCATTCTTTGGCTATAGATCCATACTGACTGTTATATACTCTGTGCTGTGATTCAGCAGATCAGCATCTTAGCATGCATGACATCATTAAATGAGGAGCATATCAACATGTTAATATTAGTATTATTTATTCAACAGTCAGTTCAGTTGATATTACATTTACATTGAGGCTTTAGTCCAAACTTACAATTCAGGAGGCATTCAGAGATTCAACAAGAAGAGGCAATACACACATTCATTCTTACTTTCATTCTCTTTTTGGCTTAGGGGAAACCAGAGTACCTGGAGGAAACCCACGCCAGCACGGGGAGAACATGCAAACTCCACACAGAAACGTCAACTGACCCAGCCGGGACTCAAACCAGTGACCTTCTTGCTGTGAGGCGATCATGCTACCCACTGCATCACTGTGAAGCTCACAATACACACACATGAAAGTAAACATGATCAAACAAAAGAAATAGATCAGGACAGCAGACACTGGGATTCTGCCAAACTATCAAACTAACTCAGCGTATTCTCTGATCACACAATGACAATATGAATGATGTAAAGAACAGTGAACAAACCTAAAGACACAATTAAACATGAATAAAACCTCTGAAAGCTGCAAACATCTCCACTTCAGCTGCTGAGTTTGTCCATGAGCTCTGAACTCTAGACTGAATATCTGCAAATGAAGATATGAACAGTTACTGTCCTGTATTTCTGTGCTGCTGTGATGATGACACTCATATATACAGTATACACACATGCAGCTGAAGCCTGAATTATTCACCCTCCTGTGACTGTTTCTCTTTTTCACATATTTCCCAAATGATGTTGAACAGATTCAGGGATTGTTCACAGTATCTCATCTAATATTTTTTTCTTCTGGAGAAAGTCTTGTTTGTTTTATTTGGCTAGAATAAAAGCAGTTTTTAATATAAAAAAATTATATTATATTGAGATTTTAAGGTCAATATTAGTGTTGGATTGTCTCCAGAACAAACCACTGTTACACAATGACTTTCCTAATTACCCTAACTTTACCCTAATTACCCTAGTGAAGCCTTTACATGTCACTGTAAGCTGAATAGAAGTGTCTTGAAGAATATCTAGTCTAATATTATTTACTGTCATCATGATGAAGAGGAAATAAATCAGTGAGAGATGAGTTATTAACACTATTAGGGGTGTAACGGTACATGTACTCATCCCAAACCATCACAGTATGAGGATCACGGTTGGATTCACGCTCTCCCATGATGAATACAGTCAGTCCAGATGTGCAGAGACTGTTAGACAGAAACAACACAGCAGCGCTCAGGACTACAGCTGTAATCGGGCCTTAAAAGTTAGGCCCGACAGAATTCGGCCCGAGCCTGACAGAACATTTTGATTGACAGCTTTTTAAAAGCCCGAACCCGTGTACAGCCCGACATTATTTAAATGTGCAGATGCACACAGCTCTCTTGCCTTTTTTATAAATGAGTTGTTTACACGTGTTTTAACATTATTCATTCATTTATCGTAACATTTCAGCACTCTAAGTAGGCCTGGGTACATACACTTAGCTTTTAAATTGGAAAACACATCAATAAAAATAAGTCTTTCTTAAGAAGTTAAATTAAGGGTGTTTGGCAATAGCGAAATTAAGATAAAGGCTCTGCAGGATTTGTTTCACTACTTCTTCTCACAATCCGGCCTTAAGGCGGCGGTGAAGCTGAATATTCATTCATTCATTTTCTTGTTGGCTTAGTTCCTTTATTGATCCGGGGTCACTCAGTGGAATGAACCGCCAACTTATCCAGCAGGTTTTTACGCAGCGGATGCCCTTCCAGCTGCAACCCATGTCTGGAAAACATACACACACACACACACACACGGACATTTAGCTTACCCAATTCACCTGTACCACATATATTTGGACTGTGGGGGAAACCAGAGCACCCGGAGGAAACCAACACGAACGCAGGGAGAACATGCAAACTCCACACAGAAACACCAACTGAGCCGAGGCTTGAACTAGCGACCTTCTTGCTGTGAGGCGACAGCACTACCTACTGCGCCATGAAGCTGAATAATAAAACAATAACATTAGCCTGTATACTCGGTCTACATTATGCGTTTATGATTTAATTAATATTTTGTTAATAGCTTGTTCATTTTTCATGACAGCAGTTTCAGTGTAGTGAGTGACCTCGTCATCTTCTCTGTCAGCTCGCTGGACATTTTCCCACACCCAACATTCACTCTTTTTGAGTTCTCTGTTACGGTTCACGTATGTTTTGTGGTATTCTGTGTTTGTTTTGAGTTCTGCTCTCTCTTCCATTGTGTATTTGGTCCTGTTTTAGGTGTGCAACCATTGGTCGAGAAGGCTGTCAATCACTATTATGACGCACTAGGCACACCAATCAGGAGCTGGTCCACCACGTATAAAAGGCGTTAGCTTGCGTCATTCAGCAGGAGCACTTAGCTCTCCGCCAAACTCCTCACTTGTGTCGGCCTGTTCATTTGTGTTTGTACAGTTTTGTTGCTGTTGTTGTTGTTGTTTACTCGCTCTCGTTTAAGTGATCTATTTATTAGATAAGCTTGTGCAGCTCAATTTAGTATTTATTGAGAAGTTGAACGATCTTTATGAGAATTGGATTATGAGAGCTCTTGTTTTGCTAATGGCTAACAGTGTGTACTTGATGAGAACTCTAGTCATTTTGAGCAGCATGCTTTATTTGTGTGTTAGTTTATGGAGGAGTTTCCTCATTTGTAATTATGTTTTGGAATAGTTATGAAGTTTAGCTAAAAGTCGCGCTGAAGATAACTGTTTTGTTCTGCTCTGTTGCGGCTGTCATGCCAACTTATTACCCCATAAACAGAAGTGTGCAACACTAGTCCCGCCTCTAAGTTCTTCTGATTGGTCCACTGCTCTGGTGCTGCTGTGGGTGAACATCGATTCATTTTATCTTCACACAGCGACAGAAGAACTGCTGCAGAAATGTAAGTGTGCAATGGTCACACACATCCATCAAACAATGGAAATATAAGATAGTGGCTGTGATTCCATCCACCTATTTTCATGTGCATTTTGGATTATCACATAAAACTGCTTGATGGAAATGTCAGGATATACAGAGATTTAGAAAATGTGCATAAAACCGTATGTGCATAACTGAGTAGCAGAAACCTTTTATTTGATAAGTAAAAGTGTGCATAAACTACAGGGGAAACACGTTTACTGAATAACTACAGAATAAAATCTAGTATGCGCATGTAAAAATATGTGTGATAGTATGCAATAATGGACAAACCAGCAGCTGAGCACACTGTAAAACATCTGAAATGTTGTTTTGGTCATATTGAAACGCCTTAACCATTTCAGTATTATTATTATTATTATTATTAAATATAATATAATCTTGAGTATCTGCGTTCTGTGTCTCATGTTCACACGCCAGTACACATTCACTGTGTGTCAGCATTTTCTTTTCTGGCTTTTTGACTCATTAGATGGAAGCATTGCTTTTATTAAATCTTAGATTAAATCTCAAATTTACAGAATTATAATACAGAATTATTGTTTTTCTGTTGTTTGAGGACAGCGCTGAGCTTCATCTTTTTTTAATCAGTTTCCTAATTATGACGTTTATTTTTCATTATTGTGTTGATTTTGTATGTTTGCATCATGAGAATCTCTTCAGTTCTGCAGCTGATTGATGAAGCACTTCTGCCTGTTCAGAATACACAGAAATAAAGCCAGCACTGAGACTTGTTGTTATTCCTGTTGGACTGTATACCCATACCAACATACACCATGAAAAAAAAATATGGAAGACGTGACAGCGCCTTTTCACACTAAATGCAAAATGTCTCAAGACAGACACAATGTATTGCAAAAAACTGCTGAAAAAGACCTGAGCATGTGCAGAAGGACTGACTGATGGAGGCGGAGCCACGGCATCAAACATCCAACTTCTAAATGCTTGTACATCAAATCAACCACGCCCCCCAAACTTCACATTTTAAATGGTGTATACAAATAATAAATAACATTTACAGCTTTTTTTGATATATAAGATTCAGCTTCTAGAACATTCATATTTTATAACAGCAAATTCAGTAGATGAACTCAATAACATGCTGAAACTCAAAATGCAGAGACGTCTTTAAACCAAGTTCAAATACCTTACAGGAGATTGATCTGGACATTAGCTTTGTCTTCCTAATTATTATTTCAGACCCATAAAGAGAATTACTGGATAAAGATCAGCTGTGTTTTCCCTGTCATGGCTAGGCGTGTATCAGCAAACTAATAAAGCCCAAGAAAGCTCAAACTTTACTGAATAAACAGTGATCCACCAGATCCTGTAGGTCAGACAGTAGAGTTTATCATGGTAAAATAACCCAGAAATCAAACATTGACACTTCACCTCCCGAAGCTCAGACTATACCCTCAGAGAAGCTGTCAATCACAACTGTCAATCATGATGACACGCCCTGTTTATATAGCATTAAATCACTGGCTAAAAACACTGTTTACAGAAATGAAGATCTGAACCTAGATCAAAGCCTTTTTTGGGACATTTTATTGAATGTGTAGGTAATTAATTATTATTTGGGCTCAAGTCTCTTTCGTTAACATGGAGGAGGCGGGGTACTTGGTACTGAACCGTGACCCCAATACTGAGATACAGACTGAACGGTGACTCCAGTGTACCGTTACACCCATAATATTTATCTGTGGATGTGAAAATGAGCTTAATTCACACTCTTGATCTGAGTCTAAAATCACCTACTACTGGAGTATGTACTTACTACATTTGAATAAGAGTTTACTACATGACTGTTGGAAAAGTGTGCTCTATATATAGTGTGTATACGAGTATAATGTTCTTTATCCGCCATTAGTCATGATCACATGACCTGACCGCGTCAGTTACGTCGCTTCACTCACATTCATGAACTCTCTGGAATTCTCTTGCATTATGGGATATCGGAGTGTTCATCAGATGTGCACTTCAGAATGTTGTTGTAAATAGTAGATCATCTGAGAGCTTCTCGCATACTGCTTTTACAATACTGTCAATTCAGACACACTAACTCACGTACTGTTTTTAGCATAGGCACACTACTGTATATAGCAGGGCTATTCAATTAGTTTGTCATGGGGGCCGGTTCATGAAAAGCATCCCAAACGAAGGGCCAGAGAGATGTGACTTGCTATATGAGTGACACAACAGCATATAAGAGCCCATACGCTGTATTTGTGATCATAAAGACACCCACGTTGGCTTCTTCTACATTAAAATGTTCATATATTGTAATTTAAAGCTACATATCATCACTGCATTGTACAATTTACTTTTTTTTTTTTTACAAACATTTATAATGTCGTATTTTAGAGCACAACAAAAGCAGTGCATTGCTGAAATAGACTTCTTCTACATTCAGACACATTCAGATGTTATGTTTTAAACTGCATAACAGTTAGTGATGCAACATTACAGATTTTGTTAGTTTGGTTATAGTCTGAAGAATAATCATGGGTTCACAGTTTTCACGTTTAATGTAAATTCAAGCTTTATATTAGGTCAGTAGCTATTTAGATTAACTGCTGTTGTCATCTGCGTTCATGCATACATAATCATTTTAATAATAACTCGTCTAACATATCTTTTGTTGACACTGAACTGAAAGGCACGCACAACTTTCACCGTGAGTTATTTTCTACTGTGTGCGCCCGGAAAGATGCAAAGATGCTCCGCTTGCATGCTCAAAAGGTCATATATATTCTTACATTAGAAATAACAAACTTGCAAGCGGAAAAGGCGTGATATGGGAACGGGCGCTGCTGTAGTTAATCCGGTGTGTGTGCGTATTAGCCTCGGTGTACTTACTTGGAACTTTAAATTAGCGCACAGGTGGGAACTTATCATAACTTTTCCGTGCAACTGAAATGCGGATTAGAGAAGCCTTTACAATTCATTAACTGTGATGATTTAAAGCGCAGTTAATAGTGAAATCGGCTAATTGTTGCATCTCGATAAACGATATCAGTGCATTGTACAAAAGGTCTTTTCTACAAAACATGTCCAAATGTTTTCAGCTGTCCGCACCACTCGCTAATGGTGACTCACGCTCTGTGCAGCAGCTCGCCCTGTAATGAACAGAAGCGTGTCACTTCATAACTATAGCGGCCGTTTTTCGACTGAACTAAATTAATTTTTGATGTCTTGGTCACACTATTTGGAGGACCGGAACAAACTGCCTCTGGGGCCGGGTTTGGCCCACGGGCCGCCAATTGAATAACCCTGCCATACAGTAAGGAAGTGTGTGGATCTAGACACAGTGTTGGTGAAGTGTGTGATTCTGGATGCAGTGTTGGTGGAGTGTGTGATTCTGACGCAGTGTTGGTGAAGTGTGTGATTATGGACGCAGTGTTGGTGAAGTGTGTGATTCTGGATGCAGTGTTGGTGAAGTGTGTGATTCTGACGCAGTGTTGGTGAAGTGTGTGATTCTGGACGCAGTGTTGGTGGAGTGTGTGATTCTGGACGCAGTGTTGGTGAAGTGTGTGATTCTGGATGCAGTGTTGGTGGAGTGTGTGATTCTGGACGCAGTGTTGGTGGAGTGTGTGATTCTGGACGCAGTGTTGGTGAAGTGTGTGATTCTGGACGCAGTGTTGGTGGAGTGTGTGATTCTGGACGCAGTGTTGGTGAAGTGTGTGATTCTGACGCAGTGTTGGTGGAGTGTGTGATTCTGGACGCAGTGTTGGTGGAGTGTGTGATTCTGGATGCAGTGTTGGTGGAGTGTGTGATTCTGGACGCAGTGTTGGTGAAGTGTGTGATTCTGGACGCAGTGTTGGTGAAGTGTGTGATTCTGGACGCAGTGTTGGTGGAGTGTGTGATTCTGGATGCAGTGTTGGTGGAGTGTGTGATTCTGGACGCAGTGTTGGTGAAGTGTGTGATTCTGGACGCAGTGTTGGTGAAGTGTGTGATTCTGGACGCAGTGTTGGTGGAGTGTGTGATTCTGGACGCAGTGTTGGTGGAGTGTGTGATTCTGGACGCAGTGTTGGTGAAGTGTGTGATTCTGACGCAGTGTTGGTGGAGTGTGTGATTCTGGACGCAGTGTTGGTGAAGTGTGTGATTCTGGACGCAGTGTTGGTGGAGTGTGTGATTCTGACGCAGTGTTGGTGAAGTGTGTGATTATGGACGCAGTGTTGGTGAAGTGTGTGATTCTGGACGCAGTGTTGGTGAAGTGTGTGATTCTGACGCAGTGTTGGTGGAGTGTGTGATTCTGGACGCAGTGTTGGTGAAGTGTGTGATTCTGGACGCAGTGTTGGTGGAGTGTGTGATTCTGGACGCAGTGTCAGTGAAGTGTGTGATTCTGGACGCAGTGTTGGTGAAGTGTGTGATTCTGACGCAGTGTTGGTGGAGTGTGTGATTCTGGACGCAGTGTTGGTGAAGTGTGTGATTCTGACGCAGTGTTGGTGGAGTGTGTGATTCTGGACGCAGTGTTGGTGAAGTGTGTGATTCTGACGCAGTGTTGGTGAAGTGTGTGATTCTGACGCAGTGTTGGTGAAGTGTGTGATTCTGGACGCAGTGTTGGTGGAGTGTGTGATTCTGACGCAGTGTTGGTGGAGTGTGTGATTCTGACGCAGTGTTGGTGAAGTGTGTGATTCTGACGCAGTGTTGGTGGAGTGTGTGATTCTGGATGCAGTGTTGGTGGAGTGTGTGATTCTGGATGCAGTGTTGGTGAAGTGTGTGATTCTGGACGCAGTGTTGGTGGAGTGTGTGATTCTGACGCAGTGTTGGTGAAGTGTGTGATTCTGGACGCAGTGTTGGTGAAGTGTGTGATTCTGACGCAGTGTTGGTGGAGTGTGTGATTCTGGATGCAGTGTTGGTGAAGTGTGTGATTCTGACGCAGTGTTGGTGAAGTGTGTGATTCTGACGCAGTGTTGGTGGAGTGTGTGATTCTGGACGCAGTGTTGGTGGAGTGTGTGATTCTGGATGCAGTGTTGGTGGAGTGTGTGATTCTGGACGCAGTGTTGGTGAAGTGTGTGATTCTGGACGCAGTGTTGGTGGAGTGTGTGATTCTGGACGCAGTGTTGGTGGAGTGTGTGATTCTGGACGCAGTGTTGGTGGAGTGTGTGATTCTGACGCAGTGTTGGTGAAGTGTGTGATTCTGGACGCAGTGTTGGTGAAGTGTGTGATTCTGGACGCAGTGTTGGTGAAGTGTGTGATTCTGGACGCAGTGTTGGTGGAGTGTGTGGATCTAGACACAGTGTTGGTGGAGTGTGTGATTATGGACGAAGTGTTGGTGGAGTGTGTGATTCTGGACGCAGTGTTGGTGAAGTGTGTGATTCTGGACGCAGTGTTGGTGGAGTGTGTGATTCTGGACGCAGTGTTGGTGGAGTGTGTGATTCTGGACGCAGTGTTGGTGGAGTGTGTGGTTCTGGACGCAGTGTTGGTGAAGTGTGTGATTCTGGACGCAGTGTTGGTGGAGTGTGTGATTCTGGACGCAGTGTTGGTGAAGTGTGTGATTCTGGACGCAGTGTTGGTGGAGTGTGTGATTCTGGACGCAGTGTTGGTGAAGTGTGTGATTTGAGGGTAAAGATGTCTAAATCTCCTTCAGTCGGTGGACACTGATGAACAGACAGTGAAGGAGATCAGATCTACTCACTTCATTCTCTTCCACATGTGTTCTGCTGGAGTCTCTGAAAACACCACAGACGTCAGCAGCTAAACAGAGGAACAACACACGAGACACGATATGAGACCTGATCAACAACTGTGAACAACTTGAGAAACATAACAAAACTGCACAAACATAAACTAAAACATTCTAGCAATGGGCCAACAAATAGATGTCATGTCGACCACATGCTGAAACACTGGAAACATGTTAAATAGTGTTGACAATAAGCTAAAATATCACATAAAACACAGAAGAAACACACTACTAACATAGATCATACTAACAATATTAATCATGCTAGTAATGTGCTTAAAATATCTCTCTGTTCATCACAGAGTATTGAAGACTATTTAATAATCCTCAATCTGATATGATCATACTCACAGAAGAGTCACAGTCCTCTTCTTCATCATCTGAAAAAACAGACATTGATGAGGAAACATTAATAACACACTGACATAAACACAATACACTTCACTATAACACAGTTCTAAATCATTATAACATATTAAACTCTATACAGAACACTATAGTAAACCGCACAATTATTATAATGCAGCTCTAGAAAACAGATGTTTAGCTTTCAGAAATAAGTGAAGTGTCTGGAGAGCATTTCTGCTGAATATGAGGATCATCTCAAACTGTAGTCTTTAGTTTCAGGGCTTTGTTGACGTCACATTTCTCTGCTATAAGGAGAGTTTGTGTTGTGTAATATTAATAATGCTGAAACTCACCAGCTAATCTGTTGTGAATCAGCCAGACAATAAGAGCAGAAAACAGAAGAGCAAACACAGCGACGACAGCAACAATCACACTCACTGCTGAGAGAAAGAGGAGTTAAACACACACACACACACACACACACACACACACACACACACACACACACACACACTTATACTGTAACTGACTATACAGCACACACACACACGTTCATATTTTGACGACAAAACAACCGACACACATGATCATGAACAACTGACACACATATGATGAGAGCTCTGAGGATTTACATTCACAAATCTTCCATATTTGTATCATCATCAGATCTGCTGTGTCATTATTAAAGAAAGCTGTATTAGAAAGACACAAAATACACTGATGATGAACCTGCTGATGAAGATTGTGGACTGGTTGTGTTGTAAACTAGAGTCACTGCTGCTGGTATTTGAGCTTCAGCTGTAACAGATGAAGGATAGTTCAGATGAATAACACTGCAGAACATCACAGCTGAACTAGTTATGTCCAGTATTGAACACTGTAATGCAGTGATGCGAGATGAACATTGCTCAGGGTTCAGACCTGGTGAAGCCGCTCTGGGTTTTTCTGTTTTGGGGTTTTTGTTGTGAACTGGAGTCACTGCTGCTGCTGTTGTTGTTTTAGCTTCAGCTGTGAAAGATGAAGATGAATATGAATCATACTGCAGCAGAACAGTTTAATAACTCGGCTCTGCTTTAGCTGTGAGATCTGGAGCTGTAAGAGATGATGGAGATGTTCATTCAGCTCAATCACACTCCACTAAATCACCATCATCTTTCAACTTTTTTTAATTTTCTGACTTTAATCAGCTTTTCTTGTTTCAAATAGAACTATCGATAAATTAAATAAATAAAAAATGTACCTGGACAAATATCAGATGATGATGATGATGATGATGATGATGGAGAGACTGAAAGTGAACAGAAGACACAAATCACTAATCATGATCTGAAACACAGAATTCAGCCCTGATTAAACTGAACACATGAGAAGGAAATTACCAGCAACAACATGCAGCAACACACGTGCATAAGTTCCATACTGGTGTCCTCCTTCTCCACTCCACTGTTGACAGGTGTAATATCCAGCATCTTCTGTTGTGACTCTACTGATGTTCAGAGAGCAGTCAGAGCCCAGATTCAGTCTCTCTGAGTTTCTCTTCTTTACCCCAAAACTAATCAGCTCAACTGCCTGGTTGTCTTTGCTGTAGAGCCATGTAGTTTCTGATGGTCTGCAGTGCTGAACAGTATTAATACAGGGCAGATGAACAGTTTGTCCAGAACTGCAGGACACCTGACGCCATTCTGCTCCAAACACACCTGAAACATTTAGTGTCATATTTTACTGCACTCTCATGTTTTCTTGCAGGCAGAATACATACAATATAAATGAATATTTTTCCTAAATTTTAGTTTTAAAGTATTCCAATCTTTATACAAAATATATGTTAAGTCCTTTGATCAGGTAATTCCTGATTTTATTTGAAGCAGTGGCTCAATAAGAGTACAGAAATCATTTTTGTTTTGCACCTATTTCTTAGTCTACAATTGGGGGATGAACATTCCCAGTGTTTTACAGTACCGGACATCAAACTACTCTAACCCTATAACACTTAATAGTCTTAACATTTGGTTACAATTCAGAAAATATTTTGCATAACTCCAGGAGACTTGTAAAATTAACCATTTCTTGTTTAGGAGGCACATGAGGGAAGAGAAAAACATGTATTTCTTTCTAAATTCACAATTCTGTAGATGTTAAGAAAAAAGGAAAAGTTAAACTTTTCTGATAAATAAGAAAATGTAGAAAATGTCTTATCACAAGAAAACCATTAATACTTACAAAGCCCCTTCTAAATTATAATACAAGTATTGGTCTGAGGTAGAGGGCAGGAAAGACAGTTTTTTATATATAGGAGACAGGCTTGACATTGTCTGAAAACCAAAATAGTTTTCTGAATTGTAACCAAATGTTTATTCTCCAGTTAAGTCAAACTCTGGTCCAGAATAATGAGCTGAAGTGCTGAGTTTATAATCTTGTAGATGATGAACAGCAGTGTTTACCTGTGCTGAGTGTCCAGAAGATGAGCAGCAGAAACAGAGGACTCCTATCAGCCATTCTGTGTGTCTGACACTCGTCTTCTGCTTTATATATATATATATATATATATGTTGAGCTCTTGTTTAAACAGCAGCAGCTCTTCCTGTGCTTCTGCAGCTTCCTCACAGTGATACGTCTCAGTTTTAACTCTATAATGGACACTGAACACTGTGATAGCGCTGTATTTTAATGAGGAAATGACAGAATAATTGTCAGTAATACTCGAGCTTGTTTTTCTCTAACAATATCAGGAACTACATTAGGACCAGCTGATGTGAATATTTCATCTTTATGCAGAATCGTCTTCTTTCATGTCGTCTTCATTCATAGTCTAAATTTGAATGATTTTAATGTGGTTAATTCCTGTTTAATCAAGCACACTCTTAAACTCAAGCTTTACAGTGGAGGGTAGTTTCAGTTACTGCAGACTCAAGACTTTCCTGCAATACTGTGATGTCTGATATACTGAAACACACACAGATCCTACAGTGAGCTGATCCTGCATCAGTTCTGCTGTGTTCAGAGCTGTGGTCTCGCTCTTCTGGTTTGGATCTGTTGTTCTGCTGACTCTGTGGAACTCAGTTAGTTTGACCACACTGGTTTAACCCACATTCAGCAGTGCCTGGTCAACCAGTTTAGCTGATGGTGTGAATCTTTCTCTCACAGCTCCTCTGGGTTCCTCTTTCCGTGTGCTTCTACAGGCTGCCTTTGCTGTTAACCACAGCTCAACACTTGTTTGATGGATCAGTTTTTCACACAATATTATCTGAAGGCCTGATAACTCAGTGCTCACGCTATCTGACCAGTGTTAGTTCTGGAGTGTCCTGTCAACCCTGTTACTGCAGTCTAGACCAAACACTGCTTCTGAAACCTAAAATATCAACATCAACTGTAGGCGGTAGATTCCTCTCACATCTTCTAATAACTCCTGCTGGGACCAGGAATTGAAGTTCAAATGCCAAAACATTAGACCACAACTGCCCCATATGTCTGCACTCATGTCAGGAGAGATGGGATGAGATCGGGAAAGGTCCATGAGCTGCGACTCAGTCTCAGGACTCAGCTGAAGTGCAGGGATGTGTTTTGTGTTCTCTGGTCATTTTGAGTTTGATTTTGGAGTTAAGAAACAGTCTGTGACAGCGGTCTCCAATGTTTGTCATAGCATGGACTTTGTCTTAATGTTTTGATGTTGATTATATCCTTGTGAACAGAAATGTGGTCAATAGAGAACTTTTTTTTAGAAAATAATCAACATGCTGTATTTTCTGTTTAAGAAGACTCTGTCAGGGTAGAAAGGGAACAGATTCAATAGCAGGTGAAACAAATTTATTCTTCTCAAAAAAAAAAAAACACAAAATATCCTCAAAAGGCAGTTCAAAACTCAAAAAACTGGACTCAGAAATCGGCGCAGTTCCGGGCGCTACCACCAGATGGCAGGAGAGCGCTCCCAAGGCTTCACTGGGCAACAGAAGGAGAGATGAAAGGAATCAGGTGAGTTCCGGATAATACCGCCAGGGGGCGATAGAGCGATACCAGACGCTCGGCCAGCACCGGAGAAGAAGAGCGTTATGGGGTACTGCTGGGCGTTCTCCCTTGGTGGAGATTCAGTAGCGAGAATGGGACAGCCAGACAGGCCCGGCGCTACGGGGGGGCAAAGGTGGGCATTGCCCCCTCAGAAAGATTTTGTGCCCCCCCAGTTTTCATAAGGGATTGTTCACTCAAACTGAAAATTCTTTCTGTCATTAATTATTAACACTCCCGTCATTCCAACCTTCAGAACACGCATTTAAATATCTTAAAATATATGACATATCAATTGAATTATGAAAATGGTGAGATTAAAGCTAGTCTTATAGTCCAGAGATCCGGTCCCCGCGTCAGGTCTGGTGCGCCCGTAAATAGCCTTTAAAACGCGCACACGGCGATGGAGGCGCACTCAACTCACAAGGGAGAAAAGTGGATGACATGATAGGAGCAGCTTAATTCATTACATGCTTTGGTTAACTAATTATTTAAACACAACTCTCTTGAGTGCTAAAAGGAAAAAACACATAAGAAATTTGCTGTTAAATTATTTTAGCAGAGACGCAACTGCCAGTCATTTATTAGTTTGGGAAGATGTAGCCTAATAAAAATGTTTTAATAAAAACAAATAGTTTACTGCACAGTCCCATAGTAGGCTACACTATAAATAATATTTTAATTTATTTATTAATATTATTTTTAATATTATTACAATTAAACTAAAATTGACAATGCAGAACTCTCTGAATGTTTGCTTTCATTTTGCTGAAAAGCGCACTTTTACAGTTGTGTAGAGAAACATCCCATTATGCAGCTGCAGTCAAGATATAACACTTAATAAATGCCTTTTGCGTTTATTAAGTCAAGTTTGCAGTGCTATAAATGGAATATAGTGCTTAAGTGGATTTACCGCGGATCAACCGAGAAACCTCACGTGCTGCAGGTAGGCAGAATGATAATCTTTTAAAAATGTAATTTAGGCTATACTGCTTTTTGCTCATGCAAAATTAAACAACATAAAATATATTGTAGATCTATTTTAAGAGCAAGAATACAACATATCGAGTTTGTTTTGACTTGTAACTCATGGCACTAAAATGAAAATAACCTGAAAACAAGCTATTAAAAAAGGCCTAATAAAATAATTAATAAATAAAATTACGGGTAGGCTTAGTAACCTAATGGTTTATGATGGTTTACAATATCAGGAAAAAAAACACACTTACTATAGCCTAAGATAAATCTTTGTTTTTACATTTAAAATGATGAAAAAAAGTTATATAGCATGTTGAGTTGCGTGTTATCCGTGCCAAAATTTACCCAGTTTTCACGGTAATAACATGTGAATTTTGGTATCTTTTTTAGGTATTTTTCTGGCTACACTAATGCATTAAAATGAAACCAAGTAATTGTTTTAAATGACATTAGATTGTAGCATTTAGCTTTTCCCTAACACTGATGTTGGTTGTATAATAGGCTACGTGAAGCGTGATGACTCGGTTAAGCTGATTTCACTATATTTATTTACCGGTTAAATGTAGTCTGATCGTGGGTCAGCTTGCATGTGTGGGCATAATTTGACGTCTTTACCTAAAACTTTAAACATTCATAGGCCTGTTATTTAAAATAAAACGGAAATAAGGAGAATAACATATGATTTAAAGCACTTGTTTGGCACTGAAGCCATGATCCGTCTGAATTAATAAGCGGTAAGCATTACTATCGTTAATAAAATTCGTAATAGCGAAACTGCATATTGTTATTACTATTAAAACCTTGCCTTAGGTCAGTAACTTAGGCAGTAATGCAAAGTAATAATAAATGTGAATAAATAGCCTAAATGAAAGAAACAAGAGTCCAAAATCAGTCACCAGGTCTAGTGCCCCCCTATGGATTTAAAGTGCCCTCTCAGTTTTGACTTCCTGGCGCCAGGCCTGCAGCCAGACCAAACCACAGCGAGCCGGATGACAGGACAAAGTATCAAAATAAAGGAGGAAGAGAAAAAACGAAACCAAAACGAGCAGGAGCTTGGAGTCTGGGGAAACAGGACACGACAAGACAGATTACTCACAGTAGATATTAGCTTACAAGCCTCACGAGCATGCAAAACGGACTGACGAAAGACAAGAGACGAGAGGAGACTAAATAGGGGAGAAATCAAGCAGCAACAGGTGAAGGAGAGGATCGCAAACTGATTACCAGGTCTCTAGGGCGGGGAAACAAAAAGCACGCGGACAAGAAGCGCGTGGCCAGCTGTCAAAACAAACCCATGTGCTCCAAACACACAAAGACAACGCAAACAGGTAAGTCATTCCATACTCTTAACAGACTCAGAGAGGAATACCTAAAGTGGAAAAATCCCTGAGATTAGAGACTTCATTTAGAGCACTGCAACACAATCCCCTAACTTACTGTTTTTATTATCAGACATTTTACTGTATTTTCTGGCAACACAAGGGCATGAGGCACAACTCATTTATTATAGAAGGAAAAAGGCCAACAGTGGCCTCTACTACCATAACAAACTACATTTCCCTGTCTGATATTTGGTTCCAGTTTATCAAGATGTGAGGATTTTGTTCTCTTTGACTGGATGGAAACATTGCTTTTCTGTTTGTGTTTGCAAATATTTTGTGCCACATTAAGTTCTGCAAGTTCCTCAACCTTTGGTAAATCTAAAGTTTTAATGATGTATTTTACTACAAACATCACAGAAATCAAAAACACACACCAACGTGGACAGAGTCGACAGAGACGAGGCTTTCAAAGAATACAGGAACTGTTGAGTTTAGACCTGTTGTTGGTGTTAGTTTGACCACACTGGTTTAACACATAGTCAGCAGTGGGCTTTAACTATAGACCAGTTTAGACTGATGGTGTGAATCTTTAGGGCCGGTTCCTTTTTCTATGAGCTGCAACACTTGGTTTGGCACGACACCTCATGTCAGAGTCACTTGAAGTACAGTCATCTGGCCATATAGAGTCATGATCCTGCACTCGACAGCTCACACACACACACACACTGCATTTTCACCTTCTGATCACGAGGACACTTACATCATTCATCTTTATATGTACAGCACTTTTATAATGTAGACTGTGTCAAAGCAGCTCAACACAGATGAAGATCCAGTAAACTGAAGGCTTCAGTCATCAATGGTGTTCAGTTTAGAGTAAGAGAAGAGCTCTCACTCTGTACAATATACATTGATGTAGTTATAATGTTGTGTATTATTCTGAGTTGTTTGAGACACAGTAACACACGGCCGGATATTTTCCTGAACAGATTCACCACTATTGATGCTCATAATCTTCATCAAGCTGAAGCTGTAGTGAGGGGTTTGTGTCTTTGCTAAACTATGACAGGTCACGTTCATTAACAAGTAAGAATGGGATTTTGTGTCTTCAGTTTCATGCTGGTTCAATCAAAACACACCCAGACACAGACAGCCCAGTGAGGACACACTAAAGGTCAGACTTGATCATATGGTCAGGGGTTTGGATAGGGAAAAAGAGCAAGGACTGAAGTGCATGACAAAATCATGTGTTTATTAATAATGAACAAAACAAAAATCACCCAGAG